TTGTGATTATGTGCTATATATCATCATATATACCTTTCTAAAACCTTCACCGGTTCACTGATGTCACCCTGTGGGCAGAGTCCAGTGATACATGCGACAAAGATGAGTTGTAACGGGGCCTGGAAGGCACGGGGTTTGTGGCGTTCAAGTTAGTTATAATGTCATTTTGATGAGGCTTCTTTGACAGCACCGAAACTGAATGGCGTGGCTTGTAGTGATCAATCTTCTCCACTATACGAGCCACGTTCTATCGACGAGGGAAGGCAGTTGTTCCTTCTATGCTATGCCTTGTATGGTGAAAGGTTTCTGTCACCAGAATTACTTAGATGGTACGCAACTTAGTACTAGAACACACTTCAAGCTTCAACTAGGCGGCCAATGACCGCCCATTGCAACACACATTCTCATTCAATTCGCCTTGGCTAATTCTTACATAGTATTTCGTACGAGGCACAGCCTCAGCTGCTGCTGTGTATTAGGTTGAGTGGTGAAGCTGTGGAGAGCCAATGGTATCTGCTGGGTAAGTAGTACGTGCACGAGGCATGTGCATCGTGCTGTGTTATGCACAGCAGCCTAACATTATAAAACTCGGTACTGTTCTACCTCTATTCCCTCTTACCTAGTATCCTCTGACCCATCTGATCAAAATGTCCCCTTCGCAGCAGATCAAAGATCTTGTCAAGGTCTTCGCAGTTCGTTTTAGGCGCCCCAAAATGAACGGACCCAGATCGACAACCACCGATCATGCTGGTGATGGCTCCATCCATGCAAAAAAAACCCAGCGCCTTTGCCTTTCCTTCCCCACCAGTACACTCTGCAGACAGCAGAGAACCAGGTCTCGAATCCTCCACCAATGTTCCATTCGCTAGATACTCTACTAGGAGTGTACCCCTTTCGCGCGAAGCTTCCGACATGGCTCAGCTGGTGCTGTCCTTGATACAGAATGTCACAAGTGCAATTCCACTTATCCGATCCGATGCAAGCGGGTATTGGTGCACCTGTTGGTGGGGGAAGGATATATCTAACTGGCTTACTATTAGCCAAAAACCTCAATATATCCTCCACTTTAGCTATCCATGCATAAGATACATCCCTCCTATGCGATTATCCGTCTGAGGCTGTCCCCGGTGAGCACCTCTCCTTCGGAGGCTGCGCCGGGAAATGTAAGTGTTTGTCCCTCCCCATCAACGGTCACTATGAATCGCTTTGTAGATCTAAGATTCTCGTTCGTCCGCGCCCGGCAATGTAAGTGTTTGTCTGTCCCCATCACTATGGATTATAATACCACAGCTACAGGTGTAACGTCCGATGTCGCCCAGTGGCAGCATCCTTATGTACAAATCAAGACATAGACAAAAATCCTGATCTTTCGACGGAGTCGAGTAATACTGACACAAGAAACCGAACAGCTGTTGGCGATTAGCGTATCGATTTGCAGTCGGGCCATCCTGTGACTGCCTTCGTAAGCCGGACAAAGGGACGGTTGAACTTGAGTCTACTTTATGAGATGATCACGGGAAAAGATGCGTGGCAGAAGACATCAGCCGTAGGCACCATCATCACCAAAATTCCCAAGTCTGAACTTGCCAAGAAACCGGAATTCTCGTCTTTGTGTTGTGCTTTAGAAGTATGGCGAGGATTTAGTAGACTACTGGAAGTAAGCACTACAATGATGATATAAATATAATATAAGCTATCTGGGCGAAAGCGCTTTCCGATCCCGATCCGCGCGTCTGAAAGAGATGAGGTGAGCTGCGAATCCCAACCAGGTACTAGTAGGAGCCCAGTGACGTACCACACCATGGCGGGAGGCCACCTGTTGTTCCAATGTGAGTGCGGGAGATATCATAGGGCCATCAATGACTCCCTTGATATGCACTATCTCGCTTACCCCAATTGTATGACATCGCAGCAGAGGATGCAACAACCGAGAGATCCCAGTCATGGTTAGATTGAGACAACAACAATATATATCACTTGCTCTTTACGAACCTATAACATAGCTGAAAAGGAGAGATCGATTTATTAGCGATCACCAACTGGCATCATTCACAGACTCTGTCTTGACGATCATGTAGCCATGTCAGCAGCCGCCACACCTTCAAGCTTTACTCCCCTCCCTAGTTCACTAACAGGGCATCCATCACATCATGTCCATCGCCTCGTTCTTTGTTCGGCTATCAGGCTATCATAGTATCGAAGCCTTCGAAGACATCCCGCCGTGGAGAACGCACCGCCCAGTATCCACGTATCCGTAACGATTCATTATGCAGTTGATGGCATCACCGCGTGACTTGGCTAGCGCTCATCCGCCTGAAGCCAAGAACAATCAGCCAAGCACAAGAAGCGTCACTCTGTATGTCACTGCCATTGCATTGATGGATGAAATCGTCGCCAAGGCAGTACCAGGATCGCGAGATGCCGAGGCTCCAAAAAGCTGTGAATAATGTTGGTATTTTTGAAACTTGAAGACATTATTCTTACGACACTGGTATCAGTAAGTGAACCATGTGCTATCAAAACCGGGAACCATCGAAGAAACCTAAGAGCCTGCCGTTTCATCTTAAAAATACTCAACGAGCATCTGTACTCTCTCCGCCTCATTCGCTGGAGCGTGTAAAAGCTCATCCAACGTCTGAAAACAACAATAAATCAGCACCCGCGAAAATGATATGACAGACCAGTTGAAGATACAACACAATAAATCCAGTGATCAAATGACTCACCTCCCCCACTGCTAAGAATCCCTCTACAAAGCCTCCAAGAAGGCTCTTCAATGCCTCATCTGCCTCCAATGCGGCCCTTGCCTCTTCCCAAGACATCGGCATCCGCCGCGTTACGCCCACTGCCTCCCTTTCTGCCTCAGTCATCAGCGCAGCGGGCGTATCACAATCTTGCTCTACGAGCGCTGCTTGAGATTGGATGCCAAGAAGACCAGAACCGATGAGACTGGCGAGAACGAGGTAAGGGGAGGCCGTGCCGTCTACACATTTTACTTCGAAGTGGTTCTTCGAGGGAGCATTGGTCGCAACCTCTGTGTCTACAGACGCAGCAGGAATACACAAGCGTACGGGCGCCTCACGGTTATCCCTTCCCCACGCGACCCATGTTCCGCCACTCCAAATTCCATCGAGCATGCGTGCATAGGAGGCACGTAGGGGGAGCGTGAACGCACAGGAAGCTTGCAGGTGATTGAGTACACCAGCTAGGAAAACGCTTTCAAGAGGGGTGATAGGATTGTCTGATGTGTCCGCTGGAGATTGGTTCAGATTTTGAAGTTTGGATGGATGCTCGGAATTGATGGGGTGCACGGAGATGTGAGTGTGAGCTGCACTGCCACCTATGTGAGAGAGTGAATCAGAGAAGGTAGACTCAGGGTGTGAACATATTGGCAGAAGGCGGAGAGAATGATCAACTACAGGAATAACACGTAACACATACAGGTGTCCATATGTAACCTTGGTGCAAACGTCGCATGAAACCCGTGTTTTCTTGCGACGTTGGTGATGGTCTCCCGTGTGTGCACGAGGGCATCAGCAGCTTCAAGAGGTGGGAGTGGACCCGTCACGATCTCGTACTATGTTGCAAAAAATCAGTATATAGAAAAAAGCGACGAAAAGTCAGGTAAACCAACCTGCCCCGGCGCTGCTTCAGAATGATACATCATCAGTTCGATTCCGCTCCTGACGAGTCCATGTGCAATCTCCTCAAGAACTTCTGTCTCCTTGGCTCCGGAAGGTAGCGCTCGCGTGTGGTTCCACCCGTGTGGGTTGATCGCCTCGATCGGGTTGGTGCTTTTGAGGAGAATGAATTCAGTCTCAAATCCAACAAGGAACGCGGCATTGTAAGATTTGGCGGTGCTGAATGTTCAAGTGAGTCCGCATTCAATGTGGTGTTAGAGAGGACGCACTTGACGATACGATTCAGTGCTGATCGTGGACACATGGGCACACCCGTGCCAAGGATGCGGCCTGGAGCAGGAACCTTATCCTGGAACCAGCCCATAATACTTACATGTCCTGGGGCGTAGGGACACAACCTCATAGATGACAAGTCCACCACAAACAGATACTCCTCTGTAGGCCCAAACCCAGCTGCGAGCCTGTTAATTACGAAGCCGAAGACACATTTGGCGATGGTTATACCCGGTCTGGAGGAGGCGAGGAGTCGATGGAAGGATTTGAGAGGGACGACTCGGATGCTAACAATGTTGACTAGATCAACCCAGGTGATGCGCACGGAGTGAATGTTATAATCTGCTAGGGATTCGATCGAAATGGTGTGAGCTTTGATTGTCTGGGGTGAGTAAGCTGGCGAGTTCGACATTACTGCGAATTGTAAGAGTTGTTGATCCAGTGTCAATTCCAATCTGCGACTATATATACGTATACGCCTCGCCGAGCGTTAACGTTAATTTGCCATCTATTGTAAACATTGATAAGGCTATGGTTGTGATAGAACTTCATAGAAGCAGACCAGGAGCGCCAGATGCTTATATAATATTTCGGCATAGCGCCGCTAGTGTGTAGCGTTCCTAAAAGCCTTCATCATTACAAGGCAACATCTTCCCATAAGTTTTCTCATTTACTTTATTGTTCCTTACTCTACAGTATATAAGGCCCGCATTATCTACTGTTAGAGTAGTTGATCTTACCCCCCCCCGAATAACATTTAGTTCGGACAGTTCTCTTGTCTGAAATAAGTCTATTCAACTATCGACTCTATCGTGTGAACGTATTTGCATACACCACATATTTTGAACTTCCCTAAATCTAAATAAAATTCCCCCCTACGGCCGCCATCAACGAGGACTGATCACCCTCGTACGTCGACGACCCCCTTTACAAAAATCCCTATCCCTTCAATCTTGAAAACAAAAATCAAAATGTCAAACGACAACGACCATGAAAACGTACCAGGTACCTTTCCGCTGAGCTCCCCAGCTGTAGTGAGTGGGTTGAGCATTGACACAGGTGCTCTTGACCTGGGTGTCAAGAGCGCATGGACTCGCGACATGGCTGTCGCTAGAGTCAGGCAGTCACTGAGTCTGAGGGCGGAAGCCCCAACCAGTGACCAGCTATCCACGGACTCATGGCTGGGAGCTCTGGGAGCCCCATCGAAAACTCAAGGACTGCCCCTCACAGATGGGGGCGAAGGGTCCGCCATGATGAGCATTAGTCCTATACTAGGCAGCGTTAGCGGATTACAGACGTCCCACTTTAGGATACGCACCGATAGAAACGTTGACCTAGATACCAATATTAACATTGTCGCACGTCAATCTAAGGAAAATATTAGTTGGTTCGACATGCCTAACGACGATGACATTGGAGAAGTACCGGAGTTCCCAGTACTCAAACCTATAGTCCAAGCCGTGACCTCAACACCTCGGGTTTCATATGAGCTTAAAGGAAGAGCTACAGAAGCAAATAAGGACGCACCTGAAACAGATGATCTGTTTGAACGTTGGACCGAGATCGACGAGCACGCAGCTCGTTTGAGTAAGCCCGATCCTCGAGATTCCGACAAGTCTCTCAAAAGACTCTGGAATGACGATGATCGTTGTGAGTCACTCCAGGTACAGAACCTGGCTCTGCAAAGGTATCGCAACCTAGCTTGCATCAAATTCGCAGAGCAGGAGAACCTTGTCGTAAATCTAAAAGAACAGATTCGTGAGCTTCAGAATCAAGTAATCACAAGTCAGACTTGCGAAGAGGAAACTCGAAAGAAAGTAATGGAAGCAGGCCGTACTCCACCTTCTACTGACACTAAACCCACCAAGTCCAGGTGCGAAGAACCCGGGGTGAACCTGGATAACCCGGAGCTGCCCAAAGAACCTCGATGTTGAGACCCACCCAAGGATTTGAGGTACCAAAGGGCGTCATCGATTCTCCCCAATGGGAGTTCGGTTAAGCGCGCAATGACTGGTCTGGATCACAGTGATCCAGACCCAAGTGACTCGGACTCAATGTCAGCAGATGACGGCGAACGATCATCTACTGAATCTGATGCCGAACGAAAACCTAAGGCGAGACGTCAGAAGTCTTCTAAGTCCCTGAAGAAAGGCAAAGAACTCACGACTAAGAACATGGACGAAACTGTAACTGAATTCGGAATTGACTTCCTTGCGTTAGAGTCAGATTCGGACCATGCCAGTGACTCAGACAATACCAAATGATCCAAAAGGCACGCTTGCAAAGATTATCGCGCCAAGCTGAATCTATTAAAATATCAGCAAGGATTCATAAAGAACGTCCCACCTTTCACCTACAATGGCGAAGCGAACGCAACGATGTACAAGAAGTGGGTCCGAGAGGTCCGGGACTGGAAGGACCGAGCTCGACTATCAATG